CATAAATTAAATCTGCCCTTCCTCATATTACTTTGTAGCAAATCTCAGGCATCATATAATTTTATCCATAAATATTTAATCACACAAGTCCACAAGAGAATTCTTTTGTTAATAGCATAACCACAATACAACGATCACATCTCAAATATTTTAACAATAATTGCTTCATATAAAATTTCCAGTTATTGTTTCTGTTGTTTGAACTTATAACTTCAAGCAATAAGCCCAGATGGCAAAATAAGCTCTGTCAGATAAGGACCTGGATAAGAGAAGCTCTGCGCGTGTCCTGATAGAACACACATGGTAGTGTTTCTTCTCTTTGCCAAGTGATCCTGTTGGGCTGGGGTTTAAGGAACTGAAGGGAATGCAAAAATAAGCTCATGAAAACGTATGCCATATGGACGTTAAAGGATTACTCTCCCCCTTTGGTTATGAAATGACTAACTATTTTCAGCTAAAATGTGTGGGATCTTTTTCAAAAAACGGAATATCTTTCCCTCGCCGAGCATATTGATTAGAGAGACATAATCTAGACTGTCTGGGAATAGTTTCTCTGTAGCTGAACAAATCACACCCTTCAATGCACTGTTTAATTTTAGATTCATCTTGTCACATTTATTTAAATGTTTTGGCTCTGGATTTTTTTCCCTTTAGGCATGCCTGATGTCCACATTTATAATTTAGCTGTCATCTTTCTCAAAGGCAGTGTGGGGCAATAGAAAAAGCAATTCTAGGTTTTGTCACATACAAGTTGAATGAACGTATACAAGTTACTTAACCTCTCTGAGCAAGAATTATTTTTCATTTGTTGACTAATGAGGATTTGTGAGGATCAAATGAGGTAACGGATTTAGCACTGTGCCTGCATACAGTAGATAATCAAAAAATCATAGCTATTGTTAATAAAAGAGGACTTTTCTATAATAAAAATGTATAATTTATCAAAAGTTCCCCCCAAATAGCTCTTTAATCAGCATTATTAATTCTTACTGATGCCTAAACAAAACCATAATGCTATTATGCATGATCAGTTACTTAAGGAATAATGTTCCTTTCATCCCGCCTTGAATGTAAACAAGTACTTAGAGTAACATAACTGTAACAAATAGACACTGTTAAGTCATTCTATTGTAAACCAATTTTTAAAAAATCAGGTCTATGTCCAATCATTTCTGTGTATTCTATATTCTCAGAATAAAATATCAAACTTTTCTGTTAGAAACTAACAGGGAAAAATGAGAAAAAAAAAAAGAAAAAGAAAAGTTTCATTCTCTCATTTTAGCAACAATACAAAAAACTCCAAGTCATTAGGCTCTTTCCAACCCTAACACTGAATGAGGTATAAAATATGAGGAAACCAGAAAACTTCTATTTCTGTTCTTCCATGTGTAGGCTAGGCATGAGATAATTTATAGAATATTAATAAAATAGGATGCTAGTTCAGCAAACAAATATATGCCCAATGTATGGTCATTAAAACCTTTATTATGGGACGCCTGGGTGGCTCAGTGGTTGAGCGTCTGCCTTCGGCTCAGGTTGTGATCCCGGGATCCAGGACTGAGTCCCGCATCGGGCTCCCTGCGAGGAGCCTGCTTCTCCCTTTGCCTGTGTCTCTGCTTCTCTCTCTCTCAGTCTGTGTCTCTCATGAATAAAGAAATAAATATTTTTTTAAAAAAACTTTATTAACTATTTTAGTCAATTTTCTCTGCCTTTACAAGTTTATTCTGTGAGAATGGATTCTGTAATTGATAGATCCTGCCATACCTCATAGTTAGCAATAAATTTTCATTATGTAGCTCTACAAAAATGAAGAGTGCGATAAATCAACTCAAATATGCCCTGACCTTACAACAGTTCCTGGTAGTATTCTAGGAATCTAGGAATTCTAGTGAATTACTTCTCTTTCCCAAAAGGGGACACACCACCATAGTCAGCTCATTGTGAACTCTGGTTCATTTTTTGAAGCTTTATTACAATGTGTCATGAGCATTCATGAAACATGGCATGAAATATTCATTGAGAGGTCAGCTCCAAAAGCACCATTGTGGTCAATCATGCAAGATGGATAGCTACGTACAAAATCTAAAGCAATTTCAAATTTCCCTTGCCAACTGGCTACAAGGTGAGCTGGGAGCTGTTTAGGTGGTCATCTTTCCATGCCATTGTCATCCATTCAAAAAACTACCAAAGTTGGGACAACTGGGTGGCTCAGTCAGTTTACTGTCCAACTCTTGATTTTGGCTCAGATCATGATGTCAGGGTCGTGGAATCAAGCTCTGCACCCAGCATAGAGTCTGCTCAAGATTCTCTCTCCCACACCCTCTGCACTCCCACCCTCTCTCTCTTTCCCCCCTCTAAACAAACAAACAACCCCCCCCCCCACCAAACTACCAGAGCCTACTCCATACTCAGTGTTAACTAGATACTGGTCTGCAAAATCCTTGCTCTCAGAATGAAGGCGCAGTAAATAAGGGACTTTTAGTAATAAGTCTTAGTTACTTATTAATTATTTATTCAGAACCTACTATAGCCAGATGCTCTGTTAGGTACTAGGGACACAACAGCAAGCTAAACAAACAAAAATATTTTAATGTGCTATAATGTGCACAGAATGCCATGGAGGCCCAGATAAAAAAGAAGATCTAGACAGACTGAGAAATCAGGGGTCAGGGAAAGCTTTGCAGAGTAGGTGATACTTCACCAAAGTTTGGAAAGACAAAGACCAAAGATGCTAGATAAGGAAGGCATTCTAGGCACAATATGGGAAGGGTGAAGCAGCAAGATATGTTTGGAAAACTACTGGCAGGTAGTTGGATATAGTTTGATACAGCTTCTGCTTTATCCAAAAACTGCAGAACATCATTGAAAGATTGCAAGCAAAGAGTGTTATGATTGTATTTGCATTTTAGAGTGCTTGCTCCGCCTGCAATACAGACAACTGTGGAGAGGACAGAGACCAATTAAGCAGATATTGTTATAATCCTGATTGCAAAATAGGAATGGAATAAAGTTTATACTATATTATAAAACTTTGCAACTGATTAGGATAGGAAAAGATTGAATGAGGGGCTAGGCAACTCCTAACTCTCTAGCTATAAAGGCAACAACTGGAGTCACTGGTTCTAATGAAAACTTCATCAATCACACTGAAGAGTATATATTTTTTAAAGATTTTATTTATTTATTCATGAGAGACCGGGGCGGGGGGGGGGGTAGAGACACAGGCAGAGGGAGAAGCAGGCTCCATGCAGGGAGCCCAATGCGAGACTTGATCCCAGGTCTCCAGGATCAAGCCCTGGGCTGAAGGCGGCGCTAAACTACTGAGCCACCTGGGTTGCCCTACACTGAAGAGTTTTTACAGTGCATTCAAGAAACCTAAGATTAGGTCACCTTCCCAGCCACTCTGGACCCAACATTGGTCTCTTGAGTTAAAGAAGGTGAGTTATTTAAAAAAAAAAAAAAAAAAAGGTGAGTTATTCCTGAACTAGGTAATTGTTAGCTTTGATGAGGATTTTGATGACTAAGAGTGAATGGTTTATCAATGTGGATTCAAGAGCTAGTTATTATCCCCATTTTGCTGACATAACCTGCAGAAGTAATTGAAAAATAAAGGTACCTTATGACAGCTGCAATTCTTTTTTTTTTTTTAAGATTTTATTTATTTATTTGACAGAGCACAAGATGGGGGAGTGGCAAGCAGAGGAAGAAGCAGGCTCCCCACTGAGCAGAGAAACTGACATGGGGCTCTGGGGCTCCATCCCAGGACCCTAGATCATGACCTGAGCCGAAGGCAGATGCTTAACTGACTGAGCCACCCAGGCACCCCCAACAGCTGTAATTCTGATTAAGTCTTGTACATTAGAAAAACCTAATTCGGAGGCACTAATATAATTAGAACTATAAAGCCCTTCTGACCATGTAACTTCAGTTGATTATATCAGACATTAAATATTTTTCTAACATAGTGTCTGAAAAAAAGAGCTCTAAATTATGATCAATGCCTTATTACGTTTTTATTGTTAGTAAACATAAACTTTTGTCTTCTCCCACATGGGGAACATTTTAAAGGTAATTTATTGCATGTATATTATTATTTCTTAATTAACAGTCATCATTTCTCTCATGGACTCACAATACCTTGTAAATTGGTTTCTCACCACCAATCTCAATCCCTTCCATTTCACCCTGGTCTGTCCCACTTTAAAAGAAGTGAACACAGGAGCACCAGGGTGGCTCTGTCAGTTGAGCGTCTCACTCATGATTTCAGCTCAGGTCATGATCCAGGGTCCTAAGATCTAGCCCTGCATTGAGTTCCCAGCTCATATAGAAAAAAAAGAAGTGAACACAAATTGATCAAACTGAACACAAATTTGGTATCGTCTTTCCCTTGCTTAACATATTTTGAATGGTGACAAATAATTACAGCATAAAGTCCAAACTCCCCAGCATATCAGTAAGGGGCCTAATGACTTAGACCCACCACTTCTTGCCAGTTGAAAGCGACCCCTCTAGCCTTACCAAATATCTTATAAACTCTTGCCACATGCAGTTGTCTTGATGACTTGTCTTGACCTAGAATGCCCCTTCTGTTGCTCAACTGGAAAACTGCCACTGGGTTTCTTTCTTTTTTTTTTTTTTTTTTTATGATAGTCACAGAGAGAGAGAGACAGAGAGAGAGAGAGAGAGGCAGAGAGAGAAGCAGGCTCCATGCATCGGGAGCCCGATGTGGGATTCGATCCCGGGTCTCCAGGATCGCGCCCTGGGCCAAAGGCAGGCGCCAAACCACTGCGCCACCCAGGGATCCCCCTGCCACTGGGTTTTTAGATAGGTCATGTGTTGTGTTCCACCTTCCTTGTAAAAATTTCAAGTTAAGCCCCAGTCTCTGCCTTTAAAGTACCATATTCAAGCATTAGCTTTTATCAACAGTTTTAAAAGTTTGTCTGTAAACGTGACTATAAGCTCCTGAAGCTAGTAATTTTGTTTTATATTTGTACTTCCAGTGCCTAACAAAGCAGCAGCCTGAATTCAAGAATGGATGAATGGATACCTCCCTGAAGCAGCTACAAATATTCTGTTGGCAATTGATTGGTTCCCTTCCTCTATTCTCCTTTAATACTTTCTCTATATTTCCAGAATAGTACTTACCACTTTATATGTCCATCTCCCTGGTATAGTCTGTGAGTAGAGACCATTATTTCCTTTTCTTATAGTATCTGAATCTGACATATAATATACCCTCAATAAATAAAGGAATGAAAAACTTGAGAGTATGCTTCTCAAACTTGTGGGCGGCACTATATCTAATATGTTTAATGCCAGACTTTTGATTAAAAAAGACCTGGATTTTTGTTTTTAATGATATGGAAAGACTGGAAAGATGGACCAAAACTAGCCAAATTAAATCTAATAGAAAGAGGTATAAAGCTCCACATTTCAGTATACGTTAGGTTTTCATTTCCAAGGTGAGAGAGAACTGAATCAATTGTATGATGTGACCGAAAATAAAATACAGAAACTCACTGTTACAAACTAATCAGTCACAGTAGCTGGAGCAAGAGAGTTGAGCCTTGTCATACTATGAACTTTTCATACATATATTGGATGTTGTATAATGTATGGGCCACGTTAACAAAATAGGAAAATTCCAGAAGTGGGTAAATGGACTCATAAGTGGCCTGAAAACTATGAAACGAAGAACAGTTAGAAGAATAGGAATGCCCAGTTTGGGAAAAAAGAAGCAGGGAGAGCAGAGGAGACAATGGAGTGTTAGCTCAAAGGATGAAGATCCCAGTTCAACCTAGTTTTGATTATTAGTGCCTGTAAACTGAGGCCCGAGTTTAATGGAGTTACCTGAGATCAGTTGGCTAATAGAGCTAGGACTTAACTCTGGTCCATTATACCAAGCTGCTGGAAGAGTTGGACTCTCCCTCTCTTCATCCCTCCCTCTCTTCCTTTATTCTTTTCTTTCTGTCTTTCTTTTTAAAGACTTACATTTGTTTATTTTGAGAGGGGGACTCTAGAGGGAGAGGAGAGGGAGAGGGAGGGAGTCTTAAGTGGACGCCACACTGAGCATGGAGCCTGAGGCAGGTCTTGATCTCATGACTCTGAGATCATGACCTGAGGTGAAACCAAGAGTCAGACGTTTAACCAACTGTGCCACTTAGGTACCCCAAGTTGGGCTTCTTTAAAATGATTATCCTTGGGATCCCTGGGTGGCTCAGCGGTTTAGCGCCGCCTTCGGCCCAGGGCGTGATCCTGGAGACCTGGGATCGAGTCCCGCGTCGGGTTCCCTGCATGGAGCCTGCTTCTCTCTCTCCCTCTGTGTCTCTCATGAATGAATAAATAAAATTAAACAACCCCCCCCCAAAAAAAAACCCACCTTGTGAAGCATAAGTTGACAGATAAGAAAATGGACAAGAAGTATTAGAATCTTGACAGAAGGTGGTAGAAGAAAACAGAATTTGAACCCGAGTGAAGGGTTCATCTACTTTCACCCTGTTAAGCAAAATGCTTCATCCTTTCCCACTCTGCCTTCCTTGTCACAATTCCAACGTCACCCTCTTACCTCTGGCAACTTGCTTTCAAGATCACTGATCGGTAAATTCTACAGTGAATGACACTAACCTTTTGCCTTGTACAGCCTTAACTCTTACTATAGAAAGAACTTATCCACACCGGTCAGGTAGACGTACTGGGGATGAGCAGGTCCCTTCCTCTTCCTGCAGTTTCAGAGACAAGGGGGTAACCTATCCGACTAACCCCCGTTTCCACGGGCAATTTCAGCGGAAGGAAAGTGGAGCAGTGAAATGACGAACTTGTAAACAGTCCATATTATAATAATTCCGGTTTTGTGCCCATACTGGCACAGAAAGGTCAACTAACTTTTCTCGGAGGGCACAGCTCCTCAGTTTCAGAGTAAACAGAAACCCTCGGTTCGGTGTTCCTTCCTTAAACCACCCTGTCTCCTCCTCCATAGATCCGTAGGTACTCCTTTCACTGCTTTCCCTTGGATTAAAATGAAAACTTTAAGCGCAGTGACCACACACGAAGTTCCTCGGAGCTTCAGTTCGCACAGGTAAGAAAAGAACGCCTGTTGTATTTCCTGTGAAGCATAAACCATAGGCAAAACACCTGGCACAACAAATTTCACCTTGAGACTACACAAATCAGTTTGGAGGCTTTTTTCTTTTTCTTTCTTTCTTTTCTTTTCTTTTTCTTTTTTTTTTTTTGGAGGTTTTTTTTCCTGTGCTCACTGGCCTCCACGTAACGACCAGAGACTGAACGGCACCCGCGCGACGGAAGCCTCCGCCCCAGGTGCTATTTGAGGGGGCGTGGCCAGCAGGAAGGACCCCCCCGTTAGCCCCGCCCCACTCGGGCGCCCGGCGCGCCTGATCGCTTTATCCCCCCCCACCCCCCCCCCACACACACACACCTACCGCCCGCACCCTGATCCGCAGCCGCCCGTGTCTCTTCTTCCTTAGTACCGGAGACGGGGACGCCTGCGAAGATTTGGATCCGAGGAGGAGTGAGGCACATCCTGGGACAGCCCGGGCTCGGCGCGCCGCCGCAACTCGAGGCCCCCGCCGTCGCCACGCCCGTGTGCCGTCGGCCCGGGCTCGCCGCTCGAGAGCCGAAGCTGGTGGGCCCGGTGTGGGAGCTCCCGTGCTTACGGTTGCCTTTATTACCATGCCGCTGTATGAAGGCCTAGGGAGCGGCGGGGAGAAAACGGCAGTCGTGATAGACCTGGGAGAGGCTTTTACCAAGTGAGTGGCGGCGACGCTGGCTCCCACGGTCGTCCCAAGGGGAGGGCGGGTGGTCGGGGCCCGGCCGGGGTTGTCCTCCCGGGCTCGCCGGGCAGGTTACCACATCTCCACTATTTCCTCCAGCACCTCCTCGAATCACCGCCCTTACTGTTTATTTTCAACGAGGACGATACGAATCCCGAGGATCCGGTTCTGACTCCTGGAGAGGCCCAGGCGGCTTCGGGAGAATTGTCTTCTCCGCTGCCCCGGGTCGTCACCCCACACCGAACGGATCCTTTGGTGTCATCCACGCAGGGGATGACAGCGATGGTTTAGACCTTTATCCCGGGCTCGTTTGCTTAGGAAGGTGACAACCGAACTATAACGTAAATATTTGTTGAACGGAGCGTCTGTTGGTACTGGGAATTGAAGTGTAAGACAGAGCCATCGCTCCCCGGCTGGAGTAGGCAGTCAGATTAGAGAGACTGAACACATAAAGAGGTGAAGAAGCCCCGTAGGTAAGACTCGAGATCCTTTGTTTCCCCGGCCCCGAACTCTTAGATTACGGAATTTGACATGTTTGAAAAGGCAACTTTTAAACACTAGAGTAGTGGTTTTCAGTCTTGGATGGCATAATCTCTTTGATGACAGAAAGAAAGCTATAGATAACACAAAGCTTAAAATGTTTGCACACGGTGTCGGAGGTTGGCGGACGATCACAGTGGCGCTTGGACATCAGGTGGCAAGCCCTTGTGTGGATTGGGGTTGAGAGGAAAGTAACAGCCTGAATTACCTCTTATGTAGATTCTTGAAATAGAAGTATCTGAGAATCGTCAATCTGAACATTGCCTAGTATACAGTAGGTATTTAATAATAATTTGTTGAATAAGTGCTCAGAACCATCTATTGAAGTATTGGACCTCAGCTGCTCCAGAATTGGATTAAAAGTAGTTCTTGGTCCATGATGTTCTCTTACTGTTCAATGCAACATCCTCCCTTATTTATATTTTCCTTTTTTTAAAAAAAATTTTTAAAAGATTTTTATTTATTCATGAGAGACACAGAAAAAGAGAGAGGCAGAGACTCAGGCAGAGGGAGAAGCAGGCTCCATGCAGGGAGCCCAACGTGAGACTCGATCCTGGGTCTCCAGGATCAGGCCCTGAGCTGAAGGCCCTGCTTAACCGCTGAGCCACCCGGGCTGCCCTGTTTTTTTGTTTTGTTTTGTTTTGTTTTGTTTTGTTTTAAATGTCTATTTTAATAGCATAATAAATATCTTAGGGCTGACACCCAAAGATAATTACTCTGGCTGGGAAGAAATGAGAAGCAGAAACTTACTGTATGGGGCACCTGGGTGGCTCAGCTGGTTAAGGGTCCACCCTTTGGCTCAGAGCATGATCTCAGGGTCCTGGGATAGAGCCCTTGTTGGGCTCCCTCACCCTCTGCCTGCCGCTCCTCCTTCTGTGGTCTCCCTCATTCTCTGTCAAATTAATTAATTAATTAAATTAAATAAAAAGAAAGTTACTATATAGGAAGACAATTATTGACAAATCAAGAGGAGGATGATAAGATGAATTTATGAAGTAAAAGAAAGGAGTTGAAGTCAACCAGTGGGTTGCATCCTGGGGAATTTGAGGAGCACTGGTGCAAGTAAACATGGAGATGTAACTTGTAGAAGATAGAGCTATTTAGGAAAGGAGAGCGGTACTGAAAACTAGGCAGGACAAGGAGAGATCATGTTAAAACTAAACTTACATGGTGATTATGCTTAGCAACATTTTTAGAAAACTTTTGTTTTATTAACATGAAACATATGTACAAATACCTAAATAGAAGAATCATGTTTTAAAAGATGGAATATTATGCAGTTTTTAAAATCATAATGAAGACTATAATGTGGGCAGAAGCTTATTGTATGAAGTTTATGACATATGGAACAGTGATTATGTCAAATATGCATTTTGTAAAAAGCAAAAACAAAAGGAAGCATATCAGTTTGGAAGCTAATAATGTTAGAGTGATGGAATTTCGAATAACTCATGATTTAAATGAAATCATACAATGTAATACAAATCCAGAGTTGTAGAGATGTATAGCCTAAAATCAGGTAAAATTTAAAACTGTAAAAAAAGTACATGCTGATCTGAAATGATATACTGGTTTATTTCAGTATCACTAATTTGAAACCATTTTTTTTACCTGAAATACACAATTATGAATATAGATGTATTAATTTTTTCTTAGTTTCTGTGTCCCTTTGAATACATCATCAGAGATGTTTCCATATATGTTTTTGTGACTACTGCTTTGAAACAAATCCAGAAAAACTTGTTTCTGTGACAAATACCTAGAAAAAGTGTTATAACTTGAATATTTCAATTTTTTCTTTATTTGCAGGTGTGGATTTGCTGGAGAAACTGGTCCAAGATGCATTATTCCTAGCGTGATAAAAAGAGCTGGCTTGCCTAAGGTATTTATTTATTTTTTAACAGTTTAGCAAAACAAATGCTGTGAAACATTTTTTTTTAAGATTTTATTTATTTATTCATGAGAGACAG